GATACTCAGTCTAGGGTCCCATCAAATACCTTAAAAAATAAAAAAAAAAAACCTTCAAAATTAAAGCAATAGTCTACCTCCTAAAATGCCCCTTCTGCGAGTCTCTGTAAGAAAATTGAGAGTATTGGCACTTAATGTATATTTTCAATCTATCACCTCTTAAACTTCCTTACACCACAAATTATCAAATCTTGAGTACATATTTTTTATGTCAACTCCAAAATACGAATCTTTGCTTAATCTCAAAAAATGTTTTATTTTATTCCTTCCACATTTATTAAGCAAAATTATGGCAAAACACACTGAAATAACCAATTCAGCTGTCAACCAGATTGTCCAAGTATAACTCTTGCTGTATTATTGTATTTTGTTCAAAGATGATCTTTAAAAGAAATAATAATAAAAAACAGAATTCTGAAACCACTCTCCAAACTGACACACCTTCCTAATGGTAATCTGTGAATCGCAAAAGAAAGCAATCAGACTTAGGGATTCTGCAAATTTTACATGGACGGTTTTGTATTTACCATTAAGCCCAGGCACAACAAAAGAACTATCATTATCATAAAGGCTTAATGTAATTGTTAGCTGATGATCTTTGTCAACAGAAACAATGTTCCTGCCACACTTTGAAAAGGTAAAAAGAAAACATTAAGAATCTGAATAGAATGTTTACTAACACGATGACTGCAAGAAAAAATTTCCTTTAACAGACAAATTATGCTCCTTCAATAACTGCAAGCAAAAGCTTCAGAATCTGTTGATCGCTACTGGTAATCACCACAAAATGAGCAAGAAGAGCTTCCAGACATCACAGTTTTCTTTGGTGTAGTGACATTATTGAGCAAGGACTCAGGAAATGCTTAGCAAGGTCTTGGGTTGTCCTTGAACCAAGGAAATACTGATACCCTGCCTGCCCACCCTCCTCATGTCAGATGTCAGGTGCCCACCTAGTGGGAGAGGTTATTTCTGTTTCTAGGCCCATTTCCAGAACCAGGAGTGCAGACAAAGAACCAGCCTATTAGTTGACAGCTGCAGAGCAGACAGAGCCCAAGCTAGCTGCAGATTAGGCATTCAAGACTTTCTCTCAGGCTGGCTGTCAGCTAATAGGCCACCTTGCTCTGCCTCAAAAGCAGGTTCACCTGCTGAGACTGTACACCTGCCCAGCACTGACAGCCAGGCCACGGAGGAGCCAAAACTTGGTGTCCAGGCTTGAGGCAGGCCACAGGGAAGCGTCCCCTGCAGAGCTATGGTGGTGACCAGCTGACTTGAAGCAATCCTTTGTTTCTGGACTTACATTTTCTCTCAGCTAAAATTTCAAATCCTGATGAAAATTCCACCATTATTTCAAATGGATGATTTGTCTTTAAATAACTCTTTAAAAATCTGAGCACCACTTTTAAGCGCACACCACCAAGAGTTAACCCGTTTTCTGTTACCCGTGACAAAGATCTACACGTGATTCCAATTGGGTCCAAAACAAAGCAAAAAATCAGCCGTTTAATACATAACACAGGACAAAACCAGCAACACAGTATTAAAAAAAGGAAGAAATCATAAAATTTTCCGCCTCCATTTTAACTAGATTTTTAAAAAAATACAGAGAATGAGACACAAAAAAGTTTTACCCTTTTGCAAACAAATATAGAGAAAATTAAATAGGAAAAGACTAGGCATCTGTCTCTCACCTTTTAATTTACAAATAAAAATAAATCTCTTTAGGAAAGAGATTTCACTGTCTTTAGGAAATTCAAGGAAGGCTTACATATCAGATGCATACACTGGTGTGTAACGAAAACAATGCTGCTGGAGTTAACCACGAAACAGCAAACATAAAATGGAGTTGTAAATGGAATGCACTGGGTGGCTTTAAAGATAAAGCTAAAACAATTTTGTGTGACTTAAAAACCCTTAAAGATCACCTCAGTCACTGTTTGGATTAACTTATAAATACTGTAAACAACAAGACAATTGTCAAAGTCCCATGGGTCAAATGTTTCCCAACAGAATCATAATGCTCAAACTCTCTGAAGTCTCATTTAATAATTACAGTACCATGCATCCCAGATACCTTTTCACAGCAAATCCATTCATTAAAAACATTATAAAGCAACATTTTGCCTACTGGGTGGCCAACAATGCTTCCTTTCATCCAGAAAATAAAGATTCTACATGAAAAGAGAACAGGCATAGGCAATGCATATATACGTACTTGTACCTTTAATGGTCAAAAGCTGCTTTAGCAAAAGCAATTGAAATTGGATACCTGAGCCAAAAGATCAATAATAATCTGAGAATGGTAAAATCTTCTGGGCAACCAATTTCACAGCTTAAAAATAAATAAGACAAGCCTCATTTAACTTATAACACTCTGCCTCATCCTCACCGCCACCTCAGCAGAGAGCCACTCTGCCTATAGTCTTCCTGGGCCATCTCAGTGCATTCCAATAGTATGTTAAGAAAATACACCAGCACCCCACTGGGCAAAAAAAAAAACTAGCCTTCCCCCAGCTGTAAGAGGCATATTCTTCCCTCCACTGTCTCTCTAAAGTCTTCCCATGGTTCCAGACTACACTGAACTTGTTCCTTAAAATATCTATAAAGCATCCATACCACTCAACCTGGGCACATAATCATAAACTACTTTGCACTGTTGGTTCACTTTTCACATATGCTTGTCTCTTCTTCCTGAAGACTCAAAAAGCTGTTTGAAGGCAAAGACCAGGTCTGATGTTTCTTTTGCACACCACATCTGATCCACAGTTCACTTCTTCCTGGCATTCTCAACTAATATTCATAGACTCATAGAAAGTTATAATCTGAAAGGACCTTTAGGGATGATATAGTCCAAGCCCCATATTTGAAATGAACTAGATGAGAGTCATTAACTTTTACAGCCCAGTGAGTCAGGTAGACCTGGATTCAAATCCTGCCTCTGGCATGTTCCGGTTGGGTAGACTGTTTTCTCTTCTGTAAAACAGAAACAATAACTACCTCATAAAATAAGGATCAACGGAGAAAAAAAATACACACACACACACACACACACTTGAACTTTCCTTTTTTTTGTCCTTGTTAAGACACAATCTTTTTTGGTTGATTTTCCTTCTGGTTTATACTACGTTAAATTGCAAGCCTAAGAGGCAGGGTGCCCCCCCCCCCCCACACACACACACACACTATATTTTCTAACCTTCTGGTACCAAATACAGTGCTTAGCATCTTTCAAAAAAGCCATAACTAACATGTGAAAGAATGCATTAAATAAACCTCTATTAGCAGTATCTAATTCCTCAAGAACCTAATCACTTAGGTCTGGTCTGCTACTACTAGTGGACTACTAGTGGAAAGGTTGGCAGTTGGAACCCACCCAGAGGCACCTGGGAAGATCTGCTTCCGAAAGGTCACAGCCATGAAACCCCTATGGAGCAGTTCTAGACTCTGCAAGCATGGGGTCATCCTGATCAGAATCAACTTCACAGCAACTAACAGCAACGTGTCTTTCCTAAACTGTGTCTTCTCAAAACAAATGTATCTCCAGCTCCCTACCCATCCCCGCCTCATACACACCTTTCCCTTTAGAACTAGGAGCTGAAAAAACCACTGCCTCTCCCACATTTTTGGAATAAAGTTAGTATCTCTTCCAGGATATTCAGACAAACAGCGATAGGTGGAGCAACAGAGTTTGGATGGATTCAAAATCTCCAGAGAACTTTCTTAGGATTTGTGGCGTCAAGCCCTTAAATAAGAATTACTTGTCTATAACAAATGCTGGCAAAAATAAACCAGAAACTCACTGGTGAGCTGTCACTGAAGTTAAATATTGCACTTCAGTCTGTTCCATGCCAGCAAACAGTGACTAATAGGATTAACTTGAGCTCTAATACTGGATGTAGGTATCCTCCAACAAGAAACAGGTCCCATTAGCACAAGTGTCAGCCCCAGATAGAAAATTTATATTTGAGGAAACATAAATTTTGCTCTTAAATTTTTTACTAGAAAAATATTTACTCCTTACGACAGGATAAAGGCGTTATTTCTTTCCTTTGCAAGAGGCAGCGACAAAAAAAAAAAAAATGGGGGCGGGGAGAAGATCTCAAACGCCAGAAGAGGATACAGATTTCCACTAAAGTAAAGTTGGTTCTTTAAAGGAATGTTATTTCTAACAGCATCTTGTATCAATTACACAAATACCATTTAAGCCACGCTGGTGCCCTGGGAAAGATCCGCAACACACAGAAATCCCTTCTGGCCTCAGCTGTCCCCTCCTGCGGGGCTTGACAGCGCGTCCAAGGTGCCCAAACACCAGCCACCAGGCTTCCCCACCCCACCCCCCGCCCCGGTGCCTTCCTCTTGCAGCAAACCGCCAGGACTCTCGGACCAAACTCCAATGTCCCTCAATTCAAATCCGCGAAAATGTGAACCCTGCTAAGCAAACGGTAGGGCGCGTTAAGAACTTTTCTTTCTTTTCTTTTTGCGTGGACATGAGATGTTTGTCTCTAATACCAATTTCTTAGCTCCACAGCCCCTTCCCCGAAACCCACCTCCAACGTAAGGGGAGAAGGAGCGTGGACCAAAGAGAGGGCTGGCAATCCCTAGTGAGTTCTAAAACCTCATCAGTTTTCCTAGTGCCACCAGCCCCATAATAATTAGGTGCAGATAGATAAAAGGAAAGGAGAATACGCCACTCCCCACCTTACCCCACCCCGTAACTGCTAAAAGTAATAGTAAAAACATGCAGCGGGCGTTCATCTGGAAACCCTGGGCCCTTCTATAGGACTATAAGGCCCGAAAAGCAGGCCGTCCGGAATGTGGAGGAAGAAAAGTTGCCAGGCAAAGTGAAGTGTAAGCTAAGGCGTGAGTGTACAGCACCCGGTCCCGACCCGATGGGAGAAGGGGCCGAGGGGAAAAGAGATGGGGATTAATAAACCCCGCGCGCAGCCAGCTGCAGCCGCTCGCCGGCCAACCGGAAAGGGTGCCGGCGGCAGAACTCTACTTACATAACGCTTCAACTTTTTCTCCGGGGGGGACTTGCGGAGCCATCCCGAACAGACCACTTCGCCGCCGCTCATGATGCGCGCCTCTCAGGCCCTGGGCCCGGCAGTTGAGGAGCGGACGGGCGCGCTCCCGACACAACCGACGCCTGCCGGGCGCACTACGGCGAGGTGCTGGCTCTCCTGGCCACGCACCCTTTGCCGATGGGACGGGCGGGCTCCCGACGCGCGCTCGGCCCGCTCCTGCAGGCTACCAGGGTCCGAGCGTCTCCCCGGGCAGCTCCACAGATGTGAGCAGAAGCGGGCTGCTTCGCCGCTCTCTACAGTACTGGGCAGCGGCCGCCGCGGGGCCGAAGGCGTCCCGGCCTCCCTTCAGTGCGCCCGCCTCGCCGCCAGGCGCGCCGTCCCACCGGCCGCCTCAGCAGCGTTCAGGCTCAGCTGGGCCGGCGTCTTCCCGGGACTCGCAGGGACTCTGTCCCAACAAGGAGCGGGAGCCTCGGTGCCTTGCGCTCCGCCCCCTCGGGACAGAACCTCCCCAGAGCGCTTTCCGAAACTGACACCGCTGCACGCACACACAATGCCCCGCGCGGTGCCTACTCCCGCTCGCCCGCTATCGGTTTCGGTCCGCCCGCCGCGATCCCCTGCTTCGTCCTCCTCGGGGGAAGGCGAGTCACTTCTTCGGGGCACCCGGGAAGCCAGCAGAAAAGGGGAAGCTAAGAAGCTCCCTCGTGCAGCGAGTGCAGGGCAGGTCCCGGGCCGCGAAGGGAGCCGCCCAGTCGGCGGCGAAGCGCGGAGCGTCGATGGGTTGCGGGCGCTGGGGAGGGCGCAGTTCCCGCCTGAGGGTGGGTCAGGTCTCGCCGCCGCCGAAGAGGGCGGGGAACGGCGGAGGAACGAGGCACTTGGCTGCGGGGAGGGATCCCACTGTCCCGTCCACACGCGCTCCTCCCCCGCCGCCTCCCCTACCCTGGGGTGTGCGGCAGGTTCTGAGCAGCCCGGCCCCTGGCCCCGATCCCTCCCTCTCCCGGCCTCCCGGTTGCTCTTCCTCTCTTTCCTCCTTCTCTTCCCAGCTCAGGCCCGGCTCCGGTTTCTGCCCAGACTTTCTATGAAACTCCGCCGAAGCGTTCCAGCCAAAACAACAAGGGCTGGGGGAGGAGTAGGTGGAGGGAGGGAGGGAGCCAGAGTCCGAGAGGCACCCTGGGATCTGTAGTTCGGAAAGCGAGAGCAGGATCCTCGGCCGCCCAGCGGCGGTGTCGGCCGGAGTCCCCCAGAGTAACTCCTCGCCTGGGAAGGCGGCAGGGGCCTCGGCGAGGGCAACTCCGGTGGGGCTTGGGCGCGGGGAGGAGCAGGGAGCGCTCAGATGTTCAGTCCAGGACTTGCCACCTTGACTTAGCCCGGGTGTCAGTTCGGTGTGTGTTCTGTGCTCCAGACCAGGAGTTTCGAAGTTTTCTGTATTTGACAGTCCGTAAAGCAAAATGGCCCAGACGGAGACCCCGGCGCCGCCGTGGGGAGGCGGCGACTCCGCGGGTTCCCGCTGCGGGAGACCGAAGAGCCAGCACCAGTAGGGCGAGAGAACCGGGCAGCGCGGAAGCGCGCCATGGCGTCCTGGGGACCCGCTGGGACTGGGATGGGATGGTCCCTGGCAGTGCTACCAAAGTGGTGGGAGCACTTTATGGAGCCGAAAGATTTGATTGTGTCTATCTCCAGGACGTTTTTAAAGTCTCTCACTCACCCCATTTGTTGTCAGTTTCTTCCACTTGTATTTGTTTAAAATCAACTCCTGCCTGGTATGTTGAGTTAGAAAAGGGAAAATTACTGGAAGTCCTATTCTACTTGCCTATTTTTGTGTTTTACAATTATTTTAACTGGTCCAGAGTTTAACATGGAAACCCTGGTGGTGTAGTGGTTAAGTGCTGTAGCTCCTAATCAAAAGGTCAGTGGTTCCAATCCCCCCGGCACTCCTTGTAAACTCTATGGGGCAGCTCTGCTCTGTCCTATAGGGTCACTATGAGTCGGAATCGACTGGACGGCAGCGGACTTGGTTTCTTGGTTTTGAGTTTAACATGATCCTGTAACGAATATAATGCATCTTCCAATTCACGAAAAATAAAGCCCCAAAACAAATTTTAGAAGGCTCTCGTTGTAATTTGCCGCCCAGTCAATTTGGACTCATCGCAACCCCATGTGTGCAGAGTAGAACTGTGCGCCTTAGGATTTCCAAGGCTGTGACCTTTCCAAAGCTTCTGCCTCTGAGTATATTCAAACCGCCACCCTTTCAGCTGCCAACCTTTCAGCTAAGGTAGTAGTCAAGTGCTTAACCCTTTGTGCCGCCCAGGGACTCCCATAATTTTAGAAGGTAATATAGATAATCAGATAAAGTTGTAAAATATGAGATAAATGAATGTTTCTGGAAAACATAACCTCAGGCATTTTCTTAATATATAAAATTCACATTCAGGAGTTTCTCTGAGTTTCAAAATGTACAGGTGTACTAGGGAAACTAGTTAGGTCCACTGCACTCAGGGAGGTGACATTTCCCCTGGGTAGCATAGGATAGTAAACAAATAAAAGGTCAGCATAAGTACAGATGGTGATAAATGTGCTATGAAGGAAATAAACACAGCAAGGTGAAAGATTAACGGGTGGGACTAAGATAGGATAAGAAGGGAGTCTTGAAAGGGAGACTTGAAATGTAAAGAAAGAGAGAATCAGATTTGGTTTACGGAAAGATAAAAGAGGTAACTATAAAGAGAACTGGAGAAAGAATAAGCAAAGAATTACTTCATAAAATCAAAAAATCCAAACCAGTTGCCATTGCATTGATTCTGACTCATGTGGACTCCATCTGTGTCGGAGTAGAACTGTGCTCCATAGAGTTTTCAATGGCTGACTTTTCAGATGTAGAGGTGGGGGTGGGGGTTGCAGACCGCACCAGGAGACACTGTTAGAGGGAATGACACCAAAATGACTATAAAAAATCCCTGTTGTTAGTTGTAATAACAACAAAAACATTTTTTATAAGCCCAGCTTACACGTGTCAATATACCTACAAGGCTAAAACTCTATGCTAATCTACTTTTTGAACTTTCTAATGTGCTCCCATCAGAGCTGTCATTATTACCCAATTACAATGACGTTCAAATCATGTTGGTTTCATCTGCACACGCTGCAAGCACACGCTGTTGTTTTTGTTGCTCTCAATGTTTTTATAGTTGCTGATTTTGTCAAATTTTCTGGTGCTTTAGCTACAATACTGTGGTAATTAGTGTTCGTGAATCTATATCAATAACTTTTGTGAGAATGAAGTAGTGATTAAAGGAAAGGAAAGAGTGATATATGGGAATTACAATTCATAAGTAACATTAGTACAAAAAATGTTATTAAGGATTCTGTATGGTCTGGTACAGGCAGGAGTTCCATGGGAGGTGGGTGACACCATGAGTTACCACACTGGGTGGCACCAACCCTAGCAACACTACTGATCACCAGACTTTTCTTCTCTGGTGCCTCTGGGTGGGCTTGAACCACCAACCTTTTGGTTAACAGCCACAGCTGCGTGCATTAACCATTCACACCACTCAGGGACTCCTGGTTACTTCATAGTGAGCCTAAATGGAGCCCCCTGGGCACCTGGAAGTGCGATAAGAAAGCACTGTGAGGAAGGAGCAGAGAGGCTGCTGAACTGTGCAAGCCTGAGACTCCTAAGCTGGGACACTGATAAATGACACCCCCATTGCATAGCGTGAATGGCTTCATCATTCAGTAACTCTCCATTAGGTTAATATTATCTCCATTACTGTAATCCATATCAGAAAATACTATGAAAATAGAATTAATTTATTTAAGTAACCTAGCAAGTAAGTTATTGGAAAATAAAGCTGGTATTCTAATCCTATCTTCAATTTATATAAAGAGCTTTGTTCATAGAAAAATAAATCAGAAGCAGTCTGGTTCCATTGAGGTTTAGAGCCCTTCATCTTTTGACAGGTTCTTTGAGTATCATAAGGGCTTAGCTTCTAGATCTGGATTCATTTTTCAGGTCATTGATTTTTCAAGTCATGACCTTGGGCAAATTATACAATATCTCCGAGCTTCAGTTTCCCGATAATGTGAAATGGAATGATACCGATATTGCAGGATTTTTGTGAAAATTAGCAATGATAGAATATTAAATGCCTGGCACATATATAGATGTTGGAGGGTTTTAGTGTTTGTGTTGTTTTTCTCAAACTTTAAGGCTTTTTAGAATACAAGTGTGTGTAATTTTCACGGCAGCCAATAAGCCAAAGCCATTCTCAAATATGGGAGCGCAGATCTTGCCACAAGTCCTCCAAGCAAAAATAAATCATTGCATTTGTTTTTCACTTCTCCATAGGTAGTGTCTATATACACTGAGTCAAAAGTATTTATGATTTACATTGGTAAGGCTAATCTGTCATTGAGTCATAACTGTTGGGTTTAGCAAATTTGCCACTCCCTGTTATCACATCCTTTTTAATTAAAAAATTGTAATGTATCTTCCATTGTTTAGCTTTTGGATGTTCCAATATTTTTTTCCCTTATTTCAAGTAAGTATTCAGTTATCTCATTTCTATAGAAGGAATCTTTAAGTATTTTCGCTTATCTTTTACTGTAATGTTTTAAGCTTATATTTCTAGAGAACAAATAAGGGTTGAAGATAGATATGTCTCCATGTATGTATTTTAGAAAAGAAATGTGCATTATTTTTACATTATATGCCATTTTTAGATTATCTCTTAAATCACATTTTATATGTTTATACATAAAAAAAGGTATGCTGGAAAAAGCTATTACACATACCCACCCAAATCCATTGCCATCAAGTCAATTCCCACTCATAGTGACCCTGTAAAGACAGAATAGAACTGCCCTATAGAGTCTCCAAGGCTGTAAATCCTTATGGAAACAGACTGCCATGTCTTTCTCCCTTGGAGCAGCTGGTGGTTTCCAACCGCCAACCTTTCAGTTAGCAGCCAAGCGCTTTAACCACTGAGCAACTATACCTTAAATTTAATTCATACAACAAATATTTACGGAATGCCTAGTGTGTGCAAGTCTCTGAGAACCAGGAATACAATAGGGAGCCAAGCCAGACTTTTTCCTGTACTTCTTCCATCCTGGAGAAAAACATTATTCAGTCAGCCATGGCCTTCTTCCCATTCCTCAAAGGCATTCTTCTCCCTTCCCACTACAAGGCCTCTGCTCTTACTG